TGAAATATAGTTAAGTGGTAGTTGGCAAGCCTCTGAATTTCTCAGGTTGTAGTTTTTGGAAGAAAAAAAAAAAAGTCTAAAATCTGGATTAAATATCCCATTTTTAATATTGGCAACCATTAAAATATTTTTAAAAACATATTATGGGAGGCTAAACAAATATCTGACATTTTCTCCTAAAATTAGAGGGTCAAGCCAAAGGAGTTCTAAGACCTTATCCAGTTCTGTAATGACGGAGGTGTGTTTTATGATTCACAAATAATTTGCTCTAGGATAAAATCAACTTTCTCCATGAAAGGTGCCTGGTCAGACTAATTCTCCGTGTCTGCTTCTCCCTTCTTCCCCAAAGCATATCATCTACATGCAATTCCTAAACACAGAAGACAAGTGCCATAAAGCACACAGACCAGCCATGCCCAGCCCCTCCCAGGAGCTCCTCTGGGGCAGAGCTGTGTCTCAGTTCCACTGCCACAGCCCAGGGCCAGCAGAGCCCACAGCTGAAGGCTCAGCGTGTGTGTGGAAAGTTTAAGTTCCCAAGAAGATACCACTCTAGGTCTTACTGCAATAAGAAGAATTGTGAGTACAAATTCCACAGATTTATATTAAATACTGTCTATCGAAGAAGAAAAAACACAACCTTTAGATCATTAGCTATAACCATCCAAGAATAATAAGCCAGATAAATATTATTTCTACATGTTGTACATTTAAGACCTATTCCCAGCAGCCGGCTCACATTTTTTGGAGAGCACTTGGCTACACCGTAACTCAAAACCTATCTTTGCTTCTCAGCAGATGCATCCTCTACTAAAAGCAACGGATTCCTGGGCCTTACAAGGGGAGCTGACAGAGGGCCGAGTGCAAAAATAAAGATAAATTAAACGAGTTCTAAAAGCAGATGTGGAAAGCAGTGGGCTCTCCAACTGTGCTTGTTTCCCTTGGATCCAGGGACTTGCACATGGTCACACCAAGTGGGTCCTAAGGCACTCCCTGCAGGAACTCCTCCACGGCACTGGACAATCAACCACTGCATCATATTTTTTTTTAATATATATAATGGTATCACATAATTGTCCTCATTCCCCCATTTCCATCCCAAACTCCTCCCCACATATGTCCCCACCCCACTGTCGTCCATGGCCACTGGCTAGGCCCATATGCATGCACACAGTTCATCATATGTGTTTTGTTTTCCCATTGATCTTAGAGAGAGGGAGGGAGGGAGGGAGGGAAGAAGGGAAAGAGGGAGGGACATCAATCGGTTGCTTCTCACACATGCCCGACAGGGGATCAAACCTGCAACCTAGGAATGTGCTCCAACCAACTGAGCCACAGAGGCCAGGCTGGCACACCAGGAGTCCTGGAATGCCATCTTGACCAGGCTGAAGTCAGTCAGTTCCCCTTGCCCAGCAGCTCAAGTCCACACTCCCCACCACCTGCCCTGTGGGCTCTCACCCTCCCATTCACCCAGGGCCAGGTAACAAAAAAACCAGGGCCCACTAAAATTCTTCACACTGGCCACTCCTAAATCTCCTTCCCTTGCCTCCCCATGGAAACCACAACCAAGGTGCTGCCCCCTGAGGACTCGGCGTAACCTCGGGTAGCATGCTGAGTGCTCCCCAAGAGACTGTGAATTACAAAACTGAGACTCTTTCCAGCTTCTCTCTGTTGATCTGCATCTAGGGTGATAAAGTTAAAAACGGTTGGACAAATAGAGGTGATGTGAAGGTCATCCCGATCGCAAATGTTGCCTGGCCGGTGATCAAGCCCGAAAAAACCTCCATGAGAAGTTGTTCAAAGTCAGGAAGGGGTGACTCAACATGTGGCCTAGGAAAAATGATAGTTTCCTTGTATAAAAACACAAAAGTCACACCCCTCAATCTGTCATTTACAGCTCTCAGAAGGTACTTTCCTGGCACGCGTTTTGGTCAAATACTTCAAAATGTGCTGAGGTTTGTAAGCGCCCTCGTTTACCCGGTGTCCTCCAAGACTTAGCTCATATGAGGCAACCATGCAAACACATCTCCCCACCCCTGAAACAGACACCTTGCTGTCACCTGGAGGGGCATGGCGCACATGCTCGAACACATGGGAACCTTCTGCCTCCCATACATGGACGCTCCTGGGAAAGCCAAGTCTAAAGGCCAGGCCCAGTGCTGGCCATGGAAACGTGGAGCATACCCCCACACGAGGAAGAGGTATCTGCCCAGGGTCTTACCTCAGGGGCACTTTCTGCACAGCCAGAGAGCATCAGGCGGTTGACAGGGCTCTCCCTGGTTGTGCTTGGACCTTCTGATTCGTAAACATTGGTAGTTGCCTCTGTTACAGATCAGGACACTGACAAGTCATAAACCACCATGAGCTTAATGATAAGCACTCCCTAAGGTACAGCGCCTGGCAGAGGTACTCTATGTCAAAGCCATCTTTCATTGCCACGAAGGACAATTCACTCAATTCATGGCTCGGGGTCTTGTGTAGCCATTAAGCTTATTCTGCCCCTTAAACAACGAACCATTCCCTGGGCAGCAGGGAGGCCCTCACCACCTCCAACCGGGTCACCCCATGGCTGCTCTCCAGCAGGCTTTCTTATCCAGACTGAGTTGTTTTCTTCCTAATTCCCTCTACATGGAAGGCACTGGTAACCCTCAGATCCAAATCCATGCCTTTCTCTCTTGCTGCCACCCCTCAGAGTCCAGGAAATCAAATACAGCGTGTCTTTGAGTAACACTGTTTCATTCAACATCATTTTGTTATAATGCTCATGAGATGCCATAGGAACTTCACTCTTGTTTATATCAATTACCTATGGTCAAACTGGTTTTGTTTCATCGGTTTGACCACATTTCCAAGAAACTATAGACACGTTAAGTGAGGACGTATACTCACTCTGCCAGCCTCACTTGCAGCTATACTGGTCACGTGACCCAGTTCTAATCCATGGGATGTCTGCAGGGGGCTTCTGACAAGAATTTTACCTTGCTGATAAAAGGAGGCTGACTATAGCTGGCAGAGCCCTACCCATCTCTCCAGCCTTGAATGTAGCTGTTTATACTGATGATGACTCAATAAAAAATGCACATATACACTCCTAGATAAGGTTAGAAGAATGACGATCACTATGTAGATGGTTTTAATATTAGTCCTATAGAGGTGTGCGCACACATATGTTCACACAAGCATTGGCTAGAGAAGACTTCTTTTTTAAAGTTAAAATGATACATACTTTAAACATGAAAGTTTGTCAATTTGGACTCCCTATTCAGAATTAGGCAATTTTAAGTATATTTCCTTCCATGTGTTTCAATTTATGAACATCCATATTTATAGGTCACCTTGAAAATAAACTAGGAGAATGTCCTCCATCCGGATTTCTGTGCCTTCCCCTATGTGAGGTGTTGGACTAGTGGGAATGGGACATGAGGGTGAGAATCAAGGCTTGCACCATCTCCTCAGACACAGAAAGACAGCTGCATTGGAAAGCAACCATGCAGGACAATGTTCTGGTTAATTTGTCTACACACCCCACAAATGTTTCCACATAAATGTCTTAATTATATGGCGGGCAGAAATCCTTCAATGCACCCATAGAGCCTGTCTACTGACAACTTGTCATGAGGATCCATCACAAACCCAGGAGAAAACTGAAGTTCAACCAAATGAGACAGCTCCTTCGTCTTACAAACACCATGAACTAGAAAAGCCAGAGGCTGAGAAGCTCGCTTGCACACACACATTTGGAATTTACCAAGGGAATAGGAGCTACCTACACTGACTTGAAAATATGTCCTTAATTTTTTTTAAATGAGCCCTAGGTTTTCTCTTTTGCTTTTGCCTCTTGTGACAGTGGCTCTCCAGGATTAGGGAAAAGGGAGTTCAGAACATCAGGACACGTCTCAGGGTAAAACGCAACTGGAACTGTGGCAGACAGCTCCATTTTGCCTGTCTCCAACTAACCATGGGCACTCGATATTAAGTCAGCCGTTGCATGTATTTTTCCTTCATCCGAGGGAAAGGAAAGGAAGGTTTTTTCCTTATAGGATCACAGAAGAGGGCACATGTGCAGAAGAGGGGCCAGGCCCGCATTGACTTGGCTGTGCCCCAATGCCTGGGCATGACCCCGATGTGACCACACACCAGCAAAACTGATTTTATTAGACAAACATTCCAGCTCCTGGAGTCTCAGATTGTTTAGCTGCAAAATTAGGATAATATTAAACTATGTTAAATTTCTCTTATGATAGGTCAAAACTATTGATAACAATGATTTCATATGGTCCAACCTAGTTATTCCTACCTTAATACATTCACAGGTTTTCTTATAGGATCGAATAACATTGAGGTTTATATGAAGGGGCATCAAAAAATAAAAAATAAAAAATAAACCCTGTAACTATGAAAAGAGCATTAACTTTATGAGCTGGAACAATAATCACCACTCCCAACTCCACATGTGCATTGCTTTATAAAAATGAAATCATGGAGGGAGATATCAGAATTGCTTCTTATGATGCAAATTCCTGGGAGCACCCCAGACATAGCGAGTGAGGAGCAGAAGGATCTGCCCGGCGAGGAATGTGCACTCTGACACATGCTCTGGTGGTAACTCAAGTTGGAGAAAATACTTTTCCCAGGAAAGAAATGGGCCTCTTTGGATTTGGGTGGCTTTCTGCTGAAATGCAGACTTTGCCAAATCCACTTCGTGTGTCCCCTTCTTCACCGTAAAAAAGATTACAAAGAACCTAGTTCATAGTATATCCTTTTTTCTTAAGAGCCAGAAAGACTTCATATGAAAGTTAGTAAAATTAGCTCAGTCGCTAATTCTTCAAAATTGATGAGGCTTGATGAAGGTGTCATCTTTTGCTACAGGGTGGTTTCATCATCTTACTCCTAATCCAAGCCTTTTAAAAAGTTCTGGGTGTTGAACTTCCTGGAGGAAACCCTCCCTCCCCCCACCTCCTTTGCAGCAAGGGCTGGCTGCTGCATGGCCCGTGGGAACTTACCCCTCAGGATGTAGTTCTGATAGTTCTGGTCGGCCTCAGCTCCCACTTTGATCAAACAGGTCAGACCTTCAGCCACCACAAATTCATGCACCAAATCCTTGTCATCCTGGCGGGAGAGGAGAGAAAAAAATTAACTGATGAACAAAATAGATCCAGAGGCATAGAACCAGAGAACAGACTGACAAATTTCAGAGGGGAGGTGAAGGTGGGGGTTGGGGAGGTGAGATTAACTGGGAAACTTATATGCATACTAGAGGCCCGGTGCACAAAATTTGTGCATGGTAGGGTCCCTAGGCCTGGCTGGCAATCAAGGCTGATCTGTGGGTAATTGGTGGGGCGATCGGGGAGGGGTGCCCACTGGCGCATGGCTTGGCCAGCCTCGGGCCTGCAGGCTCGGGGCAGCTCTTGCATTGAGCATCTGCCCCCTGGTGGTAAGTGTTCATCATAGCAACTGATCGTTCCACAGTTCAGTCGATTTGCATATTAGGCTTTTATTATATAGGATATGCATAGCACATGGACACAGACAATAGTGTGGTGAAGGTTTGGTAGGGGCAAGTGTGGGGAGGAGGGGGTCAATGGGAAAAAAACAATAACAACAAAAACTAAGGAAACATCTGTAATACTTTCAACCATAAAGATAAATTTTTAAAAAAAGACACATGAATGAAAAAAACACACACAAACTTCAAATCCTGTCCCAGCCCATCCTCCATGCAGACTGTGCTGTTAAAACTATGCACAAGCCTTTGAAGCCAGACCGACCCTGAGATTGTTCTGCTCTATTCAAATGAAGCATCTCAACTGCTGCCAGAGGAATTTTACAACCAGTCTTCGCATTGTTGTTTGCCAAAGACCCAGGATTGCCTTCTGGGCAATCTAATAAAGATAAAGCAAGCGAATCCTTGTCTGTCAGGAATATTTAAAGCATTCTGTTTCTCATTCTTCAAAAACCAGCAGGCTCTGCTCCCTCGTGGGTCCCTAGGCATGAGCCACATGAAGCTTGCTGCATTTAACAGCGGGAGCATCCAACAGCAGCATAGACCATCGAGTGAAGGGTTCAAAACACCCTCAAACCTCCTTAAGGCCGTATCAGAACGTAAAAAGCAGACTCTCCATCTCCTGAGCTGTGGGCTTGCCAGACCAGCGTGAGGCAGAGCACAGTTCCCTGCATGGATCTGGAATAGAGTGCCACCCTCCCAAAGAACCGCTGTGGGTGGCCTGCAGCCTTGCTCACAGAAGGCAGGCCAGGGAAGGAACCTCGGGGTTATCGACTCAGTAGTTCACAAAGAGAGGTCTCCAGACCCATGGGGAGCAAAAGGGTCACCTGGGAACTTGTTAAAAATGCCAACGCCCAGCTCTACCCCTGACTTACTTGATAAGAAATTTGCTGTGGAGACCAGGGTCCTGTGGCTACCACGCCCTCCAGGTGATTGGGAGGTGCACAGATGGGCCTCAGCCCACTTAGGATCATCTGGGTGCTTTGAAAAGGAAGAAGAAGCAGGACCCTTCCCCGGAGGACTTAACCAGAATTTCTGTGAGGGAGGCCCAGCTTTGCTATTAAATGCCCCAGGAAATCCTAAAGGCCGATCAGTTCAAGAACCACTGATCTAATCCTACCTTCTCTTTATAGATCAATACTCAAGAGTGAGAGTGGCCAAGGCACCGATGTCCCTCGCCCTCCTCCAGGGCACCCTTTCCTGTAGTAGCCACCTCTGTGCAAATGTAGGAGAGGGATCTTCAATCTACTGCTGTGGGAGATTCCCTCGGTTGGACAGTGCCTTGTCTCAAACACAACCAGGATAAGGCTGGAACATTCTTCTTCAATTATAACAACAGAGCAAAACTGAAGAAAAAAAAAACCCTCAGTGATGTAAATAGTAGAAAGCTTAATGGAATAATGGAAGGTTACTCTTCTAGGAATGGTCAGCAACCCTGGTTGATCTCCAAAAAAAAGAAAAAATAATGTAGACGAACTGGCACACTCCTCCAGTCTCTCTGTTAAATCAGCCCCTCGTTTGGATTTTACGGCATTTTCCAATTATATGGATGGAGGACGTGAGCTCAATGTGGGCAGGCCAGGCCCGGGCTCCCTTTGAACCAAGAAAGCGCTCCCCGTGTTCACAGGGCACCGGGGGAGGGGGAGTGAGGCCTGTGCCCCGGAGGTAATGAGAGACAGCTGTGTTAGTTCAGACTTGAAGATAATCATGGCTTTGGAAAGCAAGAGAAAATGGGACAATATCATGAGTTTTTGGAAAATTACTTTACACTCCTATGTAGAAAGGAAATAAAAAATAATTCTCTCTCCATCCCATATCCTTTTCCACCAGCATATGTGAAAAGTGAACATTTAGATGAGCTCATGTCTAGTCAGAAGGTTTTTCCAAGCATGTAACAATGTTTATTACTTTTAACTAAAACTAGATTCACACATGACTTCATGGTGAAAAAGTGAGAACAAGCTCTCAAGAAACCACTCAAGCTAATCACTAATATTAATATCGAGTTGACTGTCTGGAAAAGGTACCTAGAAAAAAACACTGAACGGAGGAGATGGTGTTTATAAAAATAATTCAGAACCCAGAGTAAACAGTATGCATATATGTAGATAAGGCACTGTAGGAACTAAAAATGTACAGATAGTAAATGTGGAGAGTATCTTCCAAATAGACAATGTACTAGCTTTTAAAACACATATCCTAAAATGTATAGGCGCTAATAAGTGGTTCTTGAAACAACAAGAATGAAATCAAAATGTTAACACTAACGAATAAGTGATTACACTGCATTTCAGAATATTCTACAAGAGTCATGCATTAACCTGTAATCATTTTTTCATGCCTATTAGTCAAGGAATAGGCAATGCAATCCAAATGGGCAATGGCTCAAATTTTTGTTGTTGTTGTTGTTGTTGTTGTTGTTTACCCCCTAATTCCAAATAGAACCTCCACATCTATAAAACACAAGGGATGGTGGAGAGGCAGGCTCATGGGTGTGAGAAGCGATCGAGGTCCCAGACAGCTTGCAACCTGTGTAACCCATTCAATCCCCAATGCATCCTTGCTCTGTGGTTTACAGCTGTTTTGTGTGCACATGGGTGGTCTTCCAGACAGGTTATAAACTTCTAGTGGCAAACACCTTCTCCCTTGCCTACGAGATGTGGACAAAGGCTGCTTAAAAACATTTGCTTAATGAATAAACAGTAGAAACAGCATCCTTGAGAATCCAGAGCCAACACTACAGAACAGGTGTGGTGAGGGGATCTGCTATAAGACCCCAAACATATTTCTTTTCTTTTTTTAACTTTTCACCATAGAAAACTTTAAACATATTCAAAATAAGACAGAATAATTTAGTGAACCCCTGGTGCCAATCAAGTCAGACCAATACTGTTTCTTCTGTCACACCCCCAGTCTGCTGTCTTATTAATTTGAAGCAAATCCCAGACATCACATCATTTAATCCATAAGTATTCCAATATGTATCTCCAAAATAGGAACTCTTTAAAATTATGTACTCATAATAAAAAAATTAATACTTTCTTATGTTATCAAATGTCCAGTCAGTGACCAGATTTCTGCCTCATAAATACTGTTTTCTTACAATTTGTGTCAGGATCCAAATAAGATCCACATGTGGCAATTAGTTTATATAAATTTTAAATGTATTTTAATTCGTCTCTCTTTTTTCCCCCTTGAAATTTATGTGTTGAAGAAAGTAGGTCATTTGCCCACAGTCTGGGTTTTGTTGATTACACGCCTGTGGTGTAGTGTAACAAGCACTTCTGTCCTGCATCATTTATTCACTGGTTATTGCATATAGAGCATGATCAGCTCCAGGACTGACTTTGTTGGCTTGACCACATCATTGATGGTAGTGTTTCCATGGACGCATATAGCATTTGGTTCTCTTCATTGTCACATCAGCAGCTGTGGCTGCTCAGACCTATCTATCCATTCATTCATTAGGGGTTATAAAATCAAGTTATTCTAATTATGTCCCTCCTTATTACGTCTTAGCTAGAATATTTTTATGCATAAAACTTCACTTCAATGACTATTTGGTTATCCTAAAATTCACATAGAAAGAGGTAAATATGAGATTCTAAAACTACCCATTTTCAAAATTATGAGCTAAAAACTAGCATTTTTCCAATGATGAACAATCCATTGAGTTTATTTTTTTCTAGTATCATGATGAACTCATCAATGCAAATACTTGGTGTTTTTAACTCATTGAAATTATCAACCTTATTGGTGCTTACATTGTCCCATCTTTGGTGAACCAGTGGGAGACTTTATTTTTAGCAATAATCCTAGTAGTATTTGACAGCTTCCTTGCTGTCCATTAAAAAGGACCCAAGTTTAGCCAAAGCCAGTTTGGCTCAGGGGATAGAGCATTGGCCTGCGGACTGAAGGGTCCCAGGTTCGATTCCACTCAAGGGCACTTACCTTGGTTGCAGGCACATCCCCAGTGGGGGGTGTGCAGGAGGCAGCTGGTCAATCTATCTCTCTCATCGATGTTTCTAACTCTCTGTCCCTCTCAATTCCTCTCTGTGTAAAATCAATAAAATACATTTTAAAAAAAGAAAAATAAAGAAACAAATGTCATATCCTATGAAAGACACATCTTGAAAATGCTTAAAGAAAGCTGTCATTTTTAAAAAATAATAAAATAAATAAATAAATAAAAATAAAAGGACCCAAGTTTATTTTACCCATTTCCTTCTCCAGACTTAGAATCAGCTGTTTCTCCAAAGAGCTGTGCTTCCTCTCAATATTTCAAGACCACAGTCTTACTGCTTTGGGTGCTTTTGGCTAATGGGTTGATCATTGCTTCTAGTCCTTTTCCATAAACAGAGCTAGAAATGTGCTTATTTGCTTGTTTGGTTGTTAAATTAATATGCAACGTGGGTTCAGTCTGATTTTTCCAGTTCAGGAATACAGAGCTTTTAAATTAACCTCTTCTACTTTTCTATCTTTTTTTCTACCTCACACCAAGAATCCCAATCCCTAAGAATTCTAAGAATGACAAAATTGGGATAACTATACACCCACACAGTGTCAGAATAGCAATACCAACATTACCACCACAACCATGATTACTGTAAACATGAAAACAGTGCATTTGTGTGTGTGTGTGTGTGTGTGTGTGTGATTCAAGATGCACAAATTACAGTATTTTAAAGTCACTTAGAATAGCTCTTCTTCCATCAACTGGATACTCAACAAGGTGAACATAAGTTTTGAAAGAAGTCAAAGCTGAACAACAGAAACACGGGCAGACAGAGGGACTGCATGAGTCAGGGTGAGGAGGGGCATGGGCATGCCTCTGGGGACACAGTGAAGTCCAGCTCCACAGTCAGGGATCTGAGTTTGAGAGAGGACGTCATGGAGGGTGAAGAAGTTTTGCTTTGTTCATCTGAGGAACAGGGATACCAGTTGAATTCGTGGGAGGTGGAGTTTTGGGACAATGAGTCAGTGAAGCACTGACTAAATTAGAGACAGGGAGGACATAAGACAGACATCTGTTAGACTATTCGGGTTGCCCAGCCCATTCATTGATTGCTTGAGTGGCACCAGACACTGTGGGAGGCCTCAGAGACACAGCAACGGAATCCAGCGAGCTCCCAGGTGACTGGACTCCCACAAGTGCCCGAAGTATCGTAAGGTCCATACCATAAGCACAGATGGCATCAGGGGTATTCAGAGGGACCATGACTGTGGTGAGGGGCAAAGGTGCAGAAGAGAGAAGGCACAGATGGCTTCCAGAGTGCAATCACAGGCAGAACTTAGGATGCAGCCAAGGACAGCAAGGTGTGAACAGAAGATTGGTCCAGAAGGGTCTCCATGTTATACTGAGAAATCCAGAGGTAATCCAGAAGGCTATGAGGAACCAGCAAGAGAATGACACCCTCAAACCCTCTGGTGGGAAGTGGGAGAAGAGATGGAGCTGGGGAGGCCCAAAAGCAGGCAGTGTCTGTAGACAGCTGTTTCAATTTTTTTGAGATGCACACTGAGGACAATGACAAGATGGTTTACACTGAGGCAGACAGTAACAATAAAAGGCATCTCATTCCACAGCAGTGCAGAAACAGAACCCGAGGGCACTATCTTCCTCTCTTACCTGAAATATCTGCTTCAGGGAGAAAAGGGCCCTTCTTAAATCTCGCCCACTGGAGTTGTACAGTTTTTCTGAAAGAAAGAAACAAGATATAAAATTAACTTATAATTGATTCAACAGATGGTAAAAACAGAGAGAGGATATGAACAATTACAGAATTTCCACTGGAAAGGTGAGTAAACCGAATCCATTTCATTTAGGATACAGGCCTCACCTCCAATAGACCAAAAATAGTCTGGGCTGTTACTGGGGGGAGGACAGGAAGTCTTGGGGGGCCCTGGTGAGTTATAGAGAATGATGCCCAGGTTTGCACCCTTAGCCAACACCCTCCCTCTCTCCAGCTCTCTATGTCCAGCTATTTAAAGACAATTACACTTGATGGTGAACAATATCTAAAAAATAACAGCTAAAACTGAATTCACCCTCTACCCGCCTCCTTCCTGGCCTCACAGCCCCTGTCCCACCAAGCTCTCTGGCTCCAGTATAAATCATTCTGCGACTGCGCTAAGAAAGCTTTTTCAGTGCCGCCTTTTCCCTGGGGGCTGATGGTCGCCTTGAGAGACCCAAGGGAAGTGGCCCTCAAGGTTTGGCTCCTTCGATGACAGGAGCCCAGCTGCAGCTGTGCCTGTACCAGAGCCCTCACTCATGTTCTAGGATGGGCCCTGGCTTTGAGCAAGGCAGGTGGAGGAGCCCTGGCTTATATTCACTGGTTCAGGACTCCTTCCAGCTACTTCAACCACACTATTCAATGGATCACATTTAGCATTTGCTGGTTAGGCCAGGCCTTGTGAATAAGGAGGCGAACCTGACCCAGGACTCGGCCTCCCAAGGTCACAATGCAACAGGATACACAGGTGAGTAATCCAAAGTTACTAGCAGAGAGAATCCCTCTTTATAAGGTATGGAGGCCTGCATTAGACTTTCTGCCATGTATCACCTGACAACAAGCAGAACTCTGCCTTCCATGAATTCACAACATCACCGCCCTCTCTTAGTTACCAGCAATCTGTCATGGCTTCTGATTCTAAGGAATGAGAATGGAGGTTACTTGTGTTCTGAGGGCTAAGGTTTTAGTACTTTACGCCATTGCTGAAACAATCCCTTTAAAAAAAAAAAAAATAGGGGTTAAGCATGTTAGAAAATAATTAGCGAGAATGACAATATTTTGTTGGAGATTTTTACATGTATAGTCATGAGCAATATGGATCTGCAGCTTTCTTATAATGAGGTTGACAATGAAGCAATGTTGACCTCTTAAGCTGGAAGTATTCACTCCTTTTCTGCTTTCAGAAAGAGTTTGTGTAACCTTGGTGCTATATCTTCCTTAAATGTTTGGCAGAATTCTCCAGTGAAGACACCTACGGCTGAAATATTCTTTATTGTTGGGAAGTTTTCAACTTTAAATTCAATATTTTTTCTATTAAGATAGGACTATTCTGATTATCTATTTCTTTTTGAATGAGCTTTGGTAATTTGTGTCTTTCAAGGAATTTCTCTGTTTCACCTAAGTTATTAAATGTACAGGCATAAATCTGTTCATAATATTCCCTATTATCCTTTTATTGACTATAACAATCTCCTCTCTTTTGTCTATGATATTGGTAATGTGTTACTTCCCTCCTTCTCACTTGGTTAAATTGGCTACAGATGTATCAATTGTATTGATCTTTTCAAAGAATCAGCTTTTTATTTCATTGTTTTTTTTCATTGTTTTTCTGACTTCTATTTCACTGGTTATGTTCTTCCCTCTGCCAGTTTTTGGTTTAATTTGCCTTTTATTTTCCAGTTTCCTAAGATGGAAACTTAAATAATTGATTTAGACCTTTCTTCTGTTCTAATGTAAGTATAAAATGCTATAAATTTCTGAGCACTGCTTTACCTACATTCCACAAATTTTGATATATTGTGTTTTCATTTTCATTTGATTCAAAATTAAATCAAGTTTGCATATTTCATTCAATTCAAACGGGAATAACTTAATCCTGTGATTTTTTTTTAAACTCTGATATAGTTAAGTACTATGTTGCTAACCTTCCAAATATTTGGGAATTTTCCAGAGTTCTTTCTGTTACTGATTTTTTTTAGTTTAATTGCTCTATGATGAGAACTTTACATAGCAATTACTAAAATTTATTAAGGTTGACTTTATGGCCCAGAATTTTTTTTTTATCTTTGTAAATGTCTAATGTACACATGGGGGGAAAAATGTGTATTCTGCTGTTATTGGGTAGGCTGTTCCATAAATACTCACTAGGTCACACTGAATGACAGTGTTCCTGAGGTCTTCTATTCTTACTGAATTTCTGTTTACCCGTTGAAATCAACTATTATCATGGATTATCTATTTCTTCTTTCAGCTTTGTGTGTTTTGCTTTAGGTCCCTTGATGTTCTGTTGGAAGGTGCATTCACAGTTAAGGTTGCTACGGCTTTCAGGTGAACTGACTTTTACCATTATGTAATGCCTTTCTTCCTCGATATTCCTTGTTTAAAGCCTGCTTTCCTAATATTTTCTAATGTGAATATGGTCATGTAGTATGTGGTTAGTGTTATTAAGGGTGTATTTTTTCCATCCTTTTATATTTAACCTGTCTATGTAGAGTCTCTAGTACATATGTTTGAAACTTGTTTCTGTCCAATCTGCCAATCTCTATCTTCACTGGTCTGCATTAATTGTGTTTTAACCTCTAGGATAGGGGTGTCGAACTCAATCAGAGAAGGGGCCAAAATCTAAAATCCAGCCTAAATCGAGGGCCGAATGGTTTACTGAACAGTCATAAACTGTCATTGTGATGGAAACACAGCGGAGTGCAGTGATGACAGCGCGGTGCGGGCCACATTGCAAGGCCTGGCGGGACGAATTTGGCCCGCGGGCCTTGTGTTTGACACATGTGCTCTAGGACATCATCAGTGATGCCTTACGTGGCCCAGAACAGAGATGCCCTGGGAGGCCTGACCCCAGGGGGCCTCTTTCCCTTTGATAAGAAACATCCTTGTACAAACACCAATGATATCTTTGAGTGGAACCATAGAAAAAACTCTCCCCTTTCTCTTTTGCCATGACTTTTAATTATAACAAACTAGAATTTCTACTCAGGGAGTAAGTACTTTACATTCCAATTGTCTTTAATTTTTTTAAAAAAATATATATTTTATTGATCTTTTACAGAGAGGAAGGGAGAGAGATAGAGAGCTAGAAACATCGATGAGAAACATAGACCAGCTGCCTTTTGCACAGCCCCTACTGGGGATGTGCCCGCAACCAAGGTACATGCCCTGGACCGGAATCGAACCTGGGACCTTTCAGTCCGCAGACCAATGCTCTATCCACTGAGCCAAATCGGTTTCGGCTGTCTTTAACTTTTAAAAAATACTTATAATTATCTCTTTTACTTCAATAATTGTTGATTCCAAACAATGCTGAATAATAAAATAGTATGGCTCACAAATAAAAATTATTTCTTTTATGTGAGAAAATTAACACTACAGACTTCAGAGAGAGATTCATGGGTTTTCATACAGATTTTTGTTCTTTTAAGACATTGTGGATGGATCACGAGAATTCTAGCTTCATATTACACAGTGTTTTACAAAGTATCATACTTTAAAAAGATATTAGCTTGTAAGAACATGTAATAAATAACTTCAAAATAAAATGGGTATTTAATTTTAAAGAGTGCCTTTAACATTTATGTAAAACCTTTTTTGTACTTGTTCAATAGAAACTTATCTGGCCACTGGGTAAAGCCAGCAATAAAACTACTGGTCTGCCATATGTTAATATTAAAGCTCAAAAGATCAACTATATAAGAATATTATGTATTCTGCTTAAATGACCTTTAAAACACTTTTAATATTTATTTTTTTATTTTTTATTTTTTTAATCCTTCCCCTTGATTTTCAGACAGAGTGGGAGGGATGGAGAGAGAGAGGGAAAGAGAGGAAGAGAAAAAAGGAGGGAGAAAGGGAGGGAGGGAGGGAAGGAGGGAGAGAGGGAGATAGAAATATTGCCTCCTTCCCAAACCCCAACTATGACCAGGGATTGAACCCACAACTGAGGTTCGTGCCCTTGACTGAAAATCAAACTCAAGACCCTTTGATCCACAGGCTGATGCTCTAACCACTAAGAAAAACCAGCCAGGACTAAAACACTTTGTTATTTTAATTCCATAGCTACAAAGCACTAGATGAGGTCTAGACCAGAAATCCTTCCATCTGGCATCTAAATTGTAGCTTTTTTTAAATCTTAAAAAAAAAAAAAATGGCTTGTATACATGCATATAAGTACAACCAATGGACATAAAACTCTGGGGAGGGAGGGTATGTTTGGGAGGGAGGGGGGGCATTGGTATATGTAGAAAAATAATAACTTAATAAAAAATATATATATAAAAAAAATAAAATAAAAAAATGGCCGAAGCCGGTTTGGCTCAGTGGTAGAGCGTTGGTCTGCGGACTGAAAGGTCCAGGTTCGATTCCGGTCAAGAGCATGTACATTGGTTGCGGGCACAACCCCGGTAGGGGTGTGCAAGAGGCAGCTGGTCGATGTTTCTCTCTCATCGATGTTTCTGGCTATCTCTCTCCCTTCCTCTCTGTAAAAAATCAATAAAATATATATTTTTTAAAAATCTTTAAAAAATGATAATGAAGTTTTATTTTTATGGACAAAGATACTCTCTCCCAAAGTACTGCAAACCTTTCCTTTTCCTATGCAACCAACACCAACAAAAACGTCATATGAGAACAATACTGGAGCTATCACCATTATGATTGACATTTAAATGACTAAGTACTCATTCAAAGAGATATTGCCCGAAACTATTGATTTTTGGGAAAGATAATTGATATTATCTCTCTTCAAAGAACCAATATCATGGTGTAAAGTGAAAGGAGAGTGCTTAATTAAAACAAATTTTTCATCTATACCCTACCTGGCTCGTTCTGTTGATCCTTATTTTTTATTTTAAATTATAGTTCACATGCAATATTGTATTCGTTTCAGGTGTACAATATAGTGATCAGGCATTTATATACCTTAGAAAGTAATCACCATGCTAAGTCTAATAGCCATCTGTCACTGTACACACTCATTACAATATTATTGACTATATTCCCGATGCTATACATTACATTCTCATGACTAATTTTATAAATGACAATTTGTACTTCTTAATCTCCTTCACCTTTTTGCCCCTCCCCCCACTCTGTGCCATCTGACAACCATCAGTTTGTTCTCTGTATCTATGAGTTTGTTTCTGTTTAGTTTTGTTTGTTCATTTGTTTTGTTTTGTTTTGTCAGAGTCACCATATAAGTGAAATCATTGTATCTGTCTATCTCTACCTGACTTATTTCACTTAGGTTCATCCATGTGGTCATAAATGACAAGATTTGCTTCTCTTTTTTGGCTGAGAAATATTCCACAGCTTCTTTATTCATTCATCTACCAATAGCTAGGTTGCTTCCCTCTCTTGGCTGTTGTAAATGATGCTGCAATGAACACAGAGGTACATGTATCTTTTCAAATTAGTGTTTTCATTTTCTTCAGCTAAATGCCTGGAAGTGGGATTGCTGAGTCATATGGTGATTTTTTAAGAGGACTCTCCATACCATTTTCCATAATGGTTGCACCAGTCTACAATCCTCACCAGCACTTATTCTTTGTAGTCTTTCTCATAATAGACATTCTGGCACAATGAGATCTCATTGTGGTTTTGATTGTATTTCCCTGATGCTTAGTGATGTTGAGCATCTTTTCATATGTCAGTGGGCCATCTGTGTGTCTTGTTCTGTTGATTTTAACATGCATTTTAAGAGACACCACTGTTTACCAAGAGGTTAGGAAGGACTAGGGATGGAAGATGGTGGTAAGTGACATATAATTTGTCATTTTATGAGACACACAATTTCTGCTGGTAGAAAAGGAACCAACAGATGTTTCACCACTGCAGATACTGCAGTCAAACCAAAGACTGCTGATAGCCCTTTGATGTGGCTCAAGAGCAGCCTCCAGCCGAAACCGGTTTGGCTCAGTGGTAGAGCGTCGGTCTGCAGACTGAAAGGTCCCAGGTTCGATTCCTGTCAAGGGCATGTACATTGGTTGCGGGCACATCCCCAGTAGGAGGTGTGCAAGAGGCAGCTGGTCAATGTTTCTCTTTCATTGATGTTTCTAGCTCTCTATATCTCTCCCTTCCTCTCTATAAAAAATCAATAAAATATATATTTAAAAAAAAAAAAAAAGAGCAGCTTCCATAGGCCAAAGGCGTAGTATTCCTTCCCACAGCCTCATCCTGGCTTCCTTGCTACTGCGTTTTGTAACCAGCAGCTTTCACTGCTGAGATCAGAGAACTGACTGTTCCATTTGTGTTGCATCCTGGAACACCCTACAGAAAGTCAGACTCTCCATGGCTGTGTGGCCCTCCCTTTCAACTTAGACTAGAGTGTGCAGGGCTCACCTAGGAACAAACTATAAATTAGTAGTACAAAATAGTCTTAGAATTATAAAGTACAGTGTAATAAAGTCAATAGCACTGTAATCTAGATATATAAAAGGCTAACGTGCTAAGTGTCAGAGGTTCTCGGGTGACGCACCCCAAAACCAGAGAGGAGGGAGCCCGATTCCTTTTGGGGCCTTGTGATTCCACCTGCAGCCATGGGTTATGTTGTTGCTGAGTCACTGTTGGCTCCAAATCTGATTTATTGCACACTTGTATTGCCTTCCACACCCAGTATGACAGCAACTTAGTAGAGTGCCCTCTTGCACTCCAGGACTCCTCAGGGGATGTTGGAGAGCCAGTTTCAGCCCAATCCCCGCAGGCCAGGCCAAGGGACCCCATTTGCCTGAGGGACCCTGCTCACTCCGCAGACAACCTTCGAGCCACGATGCCAACTCAGGTGCAGCTGGCCGGGGAGGGACCTCAGGAGGTTGACTCCAGGGCATGTCCTGCCCATCTCGCCCAGTCCTGCCCCACCAGTCACCTTCTAATTAATTTCCTTTCGGTGTGCACAAATCCATGCACCAGGTCACTAGTAAGTATTTTATATATATATATATATATGGTGTCAGGTGAAAATATAGGAGGAGACACTTTGTAAAGTATATGGTTGTCTAACAATTATGCTGAACACCTGAAACTAATACAATATATTGTTGAATGCTGAAAATAAGAGCATCAGAAGTAGGGCTGGGATCAGGTTGGAGTCCCAAAGTTTTGTCATTCTCCTGAGCTTTAAGGCTGCCAGGTGGGAGGTATGCAAAGAAGGCCCCTCTCCCACCAGCACAACCCTGAGGAGGGATCATAGCTCAGGCGGCAGGAGATGCAGGGAAGAGGTGGGGCCAGGGCCAGCAGCTAGGAAGACGCTGGAGGATGGACTATACAGCCAGCAGAGCTCATGCTTGGCAAATAAATGAATGTGGGCATTTATTCTCCCACCCATTTCCAAGTTGAATTTACCTGAAGTGCAATCATTTGTGTGGTGCTAGCCTTTGAGTAAAGGGCCATTGGGAGCCTACGTTTGGTGGGGAAAAGAGATGTAATCATATCACTTGATAAAGTCTTCATAACTGCCCTTCCATATTTTCTCTCCACACTTCTTGCCCTCTACAATGAAACATGTTCCTTTAAGAGATGCAATCGATGTGTTACCCTCTTAACTAGCGTAGAGTCGCATGGAGTAGAGAGCAAATTAGTTAGAGGCCTCTGGGAACCATCCCCACTTTGCCATCAGGAAGGTCCCGTGCCTCCTGCTCAGCCAGGAGCGCAATGAAGAAAACCTCGGTGTGTGGGAAGAGAAAGTCCAGGACATTGGAAGAAACCAGTGAAAAAATGAGAAGCAATTTGCATCGTCAACAGAATGTGGACAGGAGGAACCAAAGGCCTCTGTGAGTGTGTCGAAGGAAGCGGAGAGTGGAAGCTACATCTACAGCGTGCTTAGAGGCTGTTGAAATCACTGACTTTAAGACAAACCATGCCAACACACCCTTCTCTCGCCAAGTGTCAAACATATTAACCAAGCAACACGTGGACCGAGACCCCAGAGGCCGTCCTCAGTAAGGGAGACAAAAACTCCCCTTTTGCCCCCGGGCTGCTACAAAAGACGTCGCCCTGAGGAAACAGATTTATTCCTAGGCAAAGTGCCCATGCCTCGATTTAAAAGTCTGTTTAGACAATATAATCATCATGATCTTTCAGGAGCAGCCACAAGAGTGAATTCCTCCTTTTCTAGCATGTAGCTGCGTGACGTTTGCTTTCAGACTCACGGTGAGAGAGGGTGGTGAAGAACAGCTCTGCGGAATGACAGCCAGCAGGAAACCGGTGGCCAAGGTCTGCCCCTTACCCTGCCAAGAAGCCCACAGCCCAGTCATTGTCAGAAGCATCCCACTCTGGAAGTTCTTCCCATGAGTTCAAATGAGCCACGTGATACTCTGATGACAGGAAGCACAGCCCACTGCACCCTGCAACTGGGCTTCCATATTGCATGTGGATACAGGGGCCCAGGGGGAACCTTATTTTTTTTTTTTCCTGTGAAAACCCTGCTTGGTTGGCTTTTGGAAATACCTCTCTCCAGTGGTTTTGAAGGTTTGGGGATCACAGACTCACTGGAAAGACCTATACAAGCTGCAAAGTGATGTTCAGACACACGCGATGTTAGTCCTCTTTCCCTCTTCCCTTCCTTCAAACCATCACTGGCTACTTGTT